CCATCTGCCTCACCCCCAATCCCTGCACTTTTCCATCACTCTCATCTTTGGTGAGCCCCAATTTAACTTCCTCCCTCTTCACACCCAGGTTAAAGCCTTCTCAATGAACCCTAACAGCTCCTGGGCTAGGATCCATTTCCCCTCTTTGAGACAGGTGCAACCATCTACAGCCATTTCTCCAATTCCATTTTTTTGTACTTCATAATCTTTTTTTTTTTTTTTTTTTTTTAATTCTGCTTAAGTTTGTATCAATCACATATTCTATGGCCTTTTTTCTTCCTACTCATCATCCTCTGTCTCTCACTCCAAGTGCACAGATATTCCCACCTAACTCACAAAACACAGCGCAAAGCAGCAGCAGTCATAGAGAAGAGCACACTGGGAGCAAACTGGTAATACTTTCCATATGTTGCCCAAGTGAAAGTCTGACAACAACCCTGTAAAACAAGGTGGAGGTACTTTCCTGCTTCCAGGGCCCAGTCACCACAAGTAGGCAGGCTACACACACTAAAACCAAGATCACAAGTTCAGTATTCTTAATGACAGAAAATCATTTGGGGAATCTGCATCTGTAGTTTCTGCTTAACTGATGTTTACAGTACTTATGGCCTAAATGATCTCTGATTTAATTAACATTTGCAATCGATTTCACAGAATATTTATCATTCCATTTTGTGCAGGAAAGCAATATCGTCACACAGACTAAATATTTACTGCAACTTTAATGGAAATCTTTGCTTGATTTTTTTTTTTTTTCCCCAAATTAATGTAGAATGAATATTGACTGTAGTTCAGAAGTTTTTCTTTTTCTAAGACAGAAATTCAGCTGTAAGCAATTAGAAGCTATTCTGTGAAAATGAATGTGTTCCTGTAGGAAGACAAATAATCAGTCATCAACATGCAATATTCTCTGAGGAGACTAGAGTAACTAACTGACCTAAATATTGCTGTATTTTGCTGACACAGGCAATTTCTGAAGTACCAAACCAAGCAACTAAGAGATCCAAACCATATTTTTCAAGTGCAATTCTTGTACATATAACATAAACAAAGAATAGATAAGTTAAACACAACATCAGCACTCAGAAGAATGACAAATGAGAATGTAAAGCCACTTTTTTTTTTTTATCACATTATCAGAGCACTTACAAAAATAAAAGTACTCTTTGGGCATACAGACCAGTATTCAGTATTTTCAGAAAATTTTCTGAAGTTGTTATAAAAGCAATCATAGCTACACTTAAGTATTTCTAGAAAGGCCATAATAAAGAAACATAACATCTGATTTGCAATAGCTCCGTAAGTTAGTTATGCTTTCAAAGTGTCATGAAATTACACTTCAAGAATAGACAGCTACATAAAATGCTTTTTCTTTTATCAGCTTGTTTACCCTATTTGTACAGCATAAGCAAATATAGACATGTATTATAAGAATTTCACTATCTGTCACTTCTTACTTACATAATTCCTGTAAAAAAAACATAGAACTCTATTTGTACTTCTTAGCATTTTCTTTTGCATTTAAAAAAGATAAAAAAGAAGCTTTGTCATGTATTTTTTGTAATAAGTAATAAAAATAAGTAACTTTAAACACTGCTATCATTTGCCAAAGAATCAGACTTCACATGTGATTGTGGCGTCTAAGATTTCTCTACAGAAGCTGAAATTGATTCAGCTGCTCCTTTAAAACTTTGAAATATATTTAAATTCAACTTAAATTCAACCGAGCTTATATTTCTTATATATGCATACACAAACAATACTGCTCCTATGCCTGGTCTATTGGTTGGCGACCCTGCATGTAGCAGGGGGTTGAAAGTAGATGATCATTATGGTCCTTTTCAACCCAGGCCATCCTATGATTCTACGATTCTATGTGTAATGACCACAGACCATAGATGACAATGTCCTAAGATCAAAGTCATATCAATATGCTATACTTTTCATTAATTAAAACTGTACTTAGGGTATATATGCCAAGGCCATCCAGCTAAAAATTCAGAATTTCAGAAACAATTTAGAAGTGATATAAAGCGATATAATTTCTTTGCTTTAACCAATTATCTTCTTGTTCAATTTGATCATGACTTAACTTTAGGATATAATACAAAAAATGAGTGTCCATACTGGAGGCATAAAACAAACAATAGTTTGAATTGGAGCTGCTGCACACAGAAGGGTAGACTGTGCTTTTTAAAATATTTTTAAAAAAAGCACCTGTACACTATAAGGCATGTAGTTGAAGGTATCACTACCTTTCCTGCATCCAAAGATAAATCTACCATTCTTTAGACTAAACTGAGTCAAATTTAGAGCTGTAGCACACTCATCCTTTTAGAACAGAATCCTTTTAGTTTTATCTGCCACAACAAACTCAGTTCTGTGTCCATGCCCATATTCTTCTCAACTTTGTTTCACTGAAGTACTGTACTAAAATTCTGAACTACCTTTGGCAGTGCACTCCTTGCCCTCTTACCCAGCCTGGTTGTTATGCCCAAGGCCTAGTGCATACTACGAGGTGCAAAAGATCTTGTCCTTGTGACCGGTAACAGTCAGGGCTTCATGGAGACAGTTAGTAACCCACCATATTGTCTCAGACTGAGTGCTTTGAGAACTGGTAACAGGCACCTAGCTCAACAGATCCAATTCTAAGTTGTATGACCATCAGTCAATCATCTTACTCCATACCTACAAAGCAGCCTAAGAATCCCTTTTAAGAGTTCTTCTTGCAAGCAGCTGGCTGCACACCAGAATCTCCCCGAGACAACTCTCAAGGTTACTTAACACCTGTGCTGAGATTTACTGAGGATATGGTGATGCACTCCTGACAGATTCTCGGTAAACTATATAGTGTTTTCGAACTACACAAGCTTCACTAAGATTTGATGTTAGATTCTTTATGCACGCTGCCACCACCCCCTCTGTGTAGCAAAGAGTCGAGGATATCTAGCCATTTCAAAACTTGTTGCTGTCACAGCTATTCAAATTAACACATTATATCTATTTCATATCAATAAATATCTTTTTGTCTTCTTCTTATGAGTGAAGTGTGCAGTGCCTTAGCCTCCATCCATGACAGTAACAAATATTTAAATCTTTTTTAAATGACTTACTAGTCACAGGAACCTGGACAAGCTTGAAAAGCGGGCCCTTGTGAACCTAACGACATTCAACAAGGCCAATTCAAGATGCAAAAACTGACATTTTCAAAGACCTACTTGGAGGCAACCCATTCTCACCAAAATCCATGAATGAAACTTGCCAACCCAAGCAAGGGGTTAGAAAGCCAACAGTCCTTTATTGTAGCACAGCAGATTGCTTCTCCTAGCACACATACCCAGGATCTAAAGCACACAGATTGTATACATTTTAAAATGTGAATATTCCACAACGTGTCTGCCTATTCCTAGAATTGCAACACACTAAAATTTAATTCTTCTCATGTACTGTGTTAACATAGGGTTTTTGCATAGGGGTCTTTCGTGGTTGCAAGGTTCCACTGGGAGGTGTTGTCCGGGCAAAAGGTCACGTATTATGTAGGCCAGGTCCCTTATTTGGTCAAGAACTTTACAAAAAGACATGGCTGCTGACAGAGTTTCTGATCAGTGTGTTAACTTTGTTATGGTGCCTATACTATCAATCCCATGGTCTCTGATCATATCCTGCTCAACCAAAGGATAGTCTTCTGTTCCTCAGACTCTCTCTCTTACCTCCAGGGTTCATGATTCCAAGGGGCAATCTTTGTAGTGAAGACAGAATCAAAGTAGCCATTCAGTATCTCTGCCTTCTCAGCATCTCCTGTTACCAGGGCACCCACCTCATTGGTAGTACACTCACATTTTCCCTAGCTTTCCTTTTACTGTTAACACACTTAAAAAAACCTCCCTTGTAGTCCTTGACCTCCTTTGCCAGATTGAATTCCAAGTGGGCTTTAGCCTTCCTCATTGCATGCCTGCATGCCCTGACAGCTTTTCTACATTCCTCCCAGGTGGCCAGGTTTTTTTTCCACATTTCATAAATTTTCTTCAGTGCATTGCAGGAACCTCCTGGACCGTGCAGGCCTGGCTGTCTTGCTAAAGTAACAGATATCAGGATGGTTAAAGTGTCCTGCAAGAACTAGTGACAGGATCACAAAGCTACTTCCAGCTGTCTGCAGAAGGCCATACCAACTTTCTCCTCCTGATCAGGTAGCATGTAGTATATACATCCACAACAGTGTCACCTATATTAAGCTGCCCCTTAATTATCACCCACAGGTTCTTCCTTTGATCATCATTCACCCCTTAAAGTAAAGCCCAATACACTATAATTGTTCTCTCACACAAAGAGCAGCTCCATCACCTCACTTCACCAACCTTTCCCTCCTAAACAGCACATACCCATTCATGACAGCATCCAGTCATGCGAGCTTTCCCATCATGTCTCCATGATCATAGTGAGATCATGGCCCTGTAACTGCACACATCTCTGGTTCTTCTTCTTTATTTCCTATGTTGAGTGCATTATAATACAAGCACTCTAGGGAAAAAAAGGGTGCAGTTACCTCTAGAGGAATACAAGATTTCATGTAGGCATACTGATTCTTATGGTGCCTGGCCTTCTGGCTTTTTTCATTACAGGTAGCTAAGGAACATCTGTTACTTTTACTGCTGCCTTGCTTCATTCCCTAGTTAATTGCAGTGGCACAAGCACTGCCTTTGTGGACCCCAACGACTCATATACCTTCAATACATTTAACTTCCACTTGAAAATTTCCATAAATAGAAATTGTTTTTAAAGAACAATACACAGATTTAGCTGAAAACAAAATTCAGTAATGAAAGGAATACATGCTGCGGGGAAGTTAAAAAAAAAAAAAAAGAGTAACTACAAATAAAACTGGCAAGGTGGCAAGGTTAGATACTACCTGAAAGTTCCCCACTTCTCATTGACTTTAATAGATGACGACCAAAAAGAATCAACGGAAGTCCCTTTAACAACAGTTCTCTGCAGTGACTTACCAATTTTGCTGCTTTTCCATAATCAATCCATCTGATGGTTGCAAAGTTTGTTGACTCTGCACAGTTGAAGCCGTGGTTAAATCCTGCATGGTATCCATATGGGAAAGTGATCATAAATTCTCCTGCCTCTTGTGTAACCTGTTGCATTAAAAAAAGAAAGTGAAGCATATTACAAAAGCAGTTCTGCTCTTGTACCAATTAAAATTAAACTGTTCCTTTACCGTTACTCAGATAGAAAAAAATTTCTCCTTCCACACAACTGTCATCTAATACGTGCAGAAATGCAATGCATAAGACAATGTTATTTACTTTAATTGGGATATCTTCTCAGCATAGCTTCATGTATCACTTTACAAAATCAGAAACTACTTTCAAAGAAGTAAATCTTGGAGGAGGTGTTTTCTGATAATATGTGAAAGAACAGGGAGTTAGAAAAGACGGAGGAAAGAATGTACCAATCTTCTTGAATGAGAGGAATCAGAGATACAATGGACTGAAAATATCCATAGTTATCATCCCTAAGTACTAGTATGCAATGAAGAAATTATTCTGTTCACCACCCTCAAGATGATTCCCTAAAATGGCACCAGAAGTATTCTGCTGTTCCTGGAAAAAAATCTTATCCCCAGCCTTCTCTCATACTCACCTGAGGGACTGATTAGGCTTTTAAGCTACAGTGATGATCCAGCATAAAATAGAAGAAACTAAGTTACTGAGACTTGGCACAGAAAATATGTTTTATACCAGTGGAATATACTAGAAGGAAAACAGTGAAACACATTACATTATGTTCACCTGAGGCAGTATCTTCAGATCATTTTGTATAGGAAAGAAAATTCCATTGCACCAGGCATTTATTAACACATAACAGGATTCTTGAGCTGGATATACCACACAGAATGTCTGAACTTTAAATTGTTATTTTAAATGCACAAGCATTACTTCAAAATTAAATGTAATGTGCTTCTGTCCTTATCCTCTTTCTCTATAGGCACAGTTCAGGAGAGAATAATTCTGGTACTACTTATGACCATAACTCGATATACTAAGAGTACAGGTGGCCTCAAAGAAGATTCTCAAAGAGGAACAGCTTAACTACACTTTGGTGTACACTTTGGTACTGCATTAGAAAATAAGCAAGGGTAGTTCTGAGTCGTTATTCTGTTCTTTCCAAGTACAGCAAACAGCAATCAAAATAAATGCATGCTGAGCCTACTGATTCAACAAGAAATTAGAGGTAGATGGAAAAAAAAAAAAAAAAAAAAAAGCTATAAATACTGTGATAGTAACTGTATTTTGCAGTCTCAAAATACAGGAATTTTGAAGGAACCCAAATACCTAGCAGTTATCAACACCAGACATAAAATTCTTCTAGAAGACAAAAAGAAAAAAAAAAAACTGTGGGGCAAGATAAGCAAAAGATTGGTCAGGATATTTTCTTTCAAGGCGAAAAACAACCTCTTATCTTCCCACACTTGGATGGACTGGTGCTCTCCTCCAGAGCCGAAGAAAAATACAGTCAGCACTTATTCATCACCCACTAATATCTGTCCAAGAGACTAAAGCCTCAGTAAAGACCACCAAAGACTGTATCAAGGACAAACTAGTCAGAGACTAGAAATACTACACTGTCTCCTCAACAATCTGACAAGAGTTAATCTGTTAACTAGAAGATTCAGAAGAAAAGGGTCAAATGAGTTCTACATGAAAAGAGAAACAGAAGACAGCACCACTAAAAAGCAATCTAAGTTCAGCAGATAATCTGAGTAATGATAGATGTCTGCTCAAAAAGGTGTATTCACTGATTACAGGGAAATAAGGAGACTTCCTGGAGATGAAATAGATTTATTTTCATTGTCTGACAATGCTTTGCTTTGCAAAGAAATACTCGTATGATTTTAAGTAGCAAAAATTGAGTGACTTGAAACAATTCAATAAATCAAAATCACAATTTGAGACATTTTCCTAATAAGAATCTGTTTTTATAACCCTCTTTCTTCTCTCTCAAAATTTTCATCTGCTAGTTGTTAAAATTCCTTTCTGTGATTTTTATGTGTGGTGCAAGAATAAGTACAAAGGTTTAACACTTCACCTATTGATGTAAATTGCTGATAGTCTTATGGGAGGATGCAAAGAGGGAAAAAAAAAGAAGAATATGCTGAGCTGAAATATAAAGCACTGCAAAATTGTATTTTACATTTTTCATTTGCATTTTGCAAGGTTAATATTTTGGGGGGTTTATATGTAGCATATACATGCAAACACAGATACAGATGCATATATTATAAATGCTACTATAGTACTTCAACAATCACTGTGGGAATGTTTAAGAAGGATTATTCTCAATGCCAGCAATTCCAAAATTTATCTCAATACACCCTCCCACTGCTGACAGTTTAGCAGGTGTTCTATTGCAACAAGCACCAGTTCAGCTGCCACCTGGTAGGCGTAGGCTGTCTTATCAGCGTTCAGCACATTTCCAGTTCTATCACTTTGAGCCATGAGAGATCACAGCCTGGTTTTCTCTATTCACTTTCTCACTGAATCCCATTAATTACAATTACACTTGGGTACAGACTGCTTCCTCCTAACACTAGTTGACAGAACCAAACTTAAAATATTTAACTATTTCTAGCACTTTCATTTAAAAAAACTGAAGAACAGATTCAATCAATACAGTGAATTAAGAACATCAGATCCCTTACCCACCCCAAAAAACAAATGTAGCAGCATTCACCAAGATGCTACCTTAAACACAAACCACTGAAAATTGTGCTGTTAAGAGTAACGTTCAGTAAATCGAACATCATAAATCAAGCTATAAAACCTTGTTTGGAAGGATACATCTGAGACTTCATGATAAAGCATAAGATTATGAAGGGAATCAGAACTTACCTGTATATTACAAAGCTGAACTCAGCAACTACAATGATAATATATCATTCAGAAAACAAACTTTTTATGTAATTTATTCAAAAAAGCTTGCTTTCCAAGGCAGGCCATATCATTCTAAAAGCCCACATTTCTCCAGTTTCATACATATGTTAATTTAAGCATAAAAAGAAAAGTAATCTTTCAAAAGGCATGAACAAATGAGTGGCTTCACACCGCATAAAAATCTACCTTACTCTTTACTTCTGTGCCTTAAGAATAATGCTGCATTTCCCAGATGCTTTTTTAATCAACTTGTATCCTTCTTAAATTTCTATCTATTCAGTTTTACCAAAAGCATATAACTCTTAGTACCAATTACTGTTAATTTACTAGTAACCATTGTAGTTGCAGACAATGCTGTAGATATTTGAGAATATTTCACATTGTTGGCAAATATCTGCTGTAAGATCTCTCTCAAGACATAATCGAGAAATAATCTTTAATTATATTTACTTCTTGCACAAAGGACTGATTTCAGATGGTAGTAAGGCTACAAAGTGCAATACACATTATATCACCCTACCAGTTCTGAACTTATTTCATATTCATTCACTTGAAATACTGCATGCTGTATTTCATATCATTCTACATAATATATACAAAAACATAATGTAAGCAATTCCATGGGCTACATTTAATAGTGTAAGACAAACATCAACAAAAAGAGATGTGCAGTATTGCATAATCTAGGCAGGGGAATATGGGAAGCTAACTTCATATACAAAGGCCTATATGATATCAATTTACAAATACAACCTGAAATAAAAACTTCAACAATAAACAAGGACTGTGTTGAGGACAATTTAAAGGACTTTTCTGCAGCAAGATGAGAGTAAGAATCATAACCGATTAGTTGGTCAAAAGGCTTTTAAGATATTAGAATATAAACAGATGTTCAGGCAGGAGACTATGAATCAGAATGTACTCTTCTGAGCAGGCTTGCAAAATCTTTTCATTTCGAAATTTAGAATTTACAAACTGTTCAGGATACAGAATACATACACTAAGGAGAAAGTAATGTAGTAGAAACACTTTTACTAACTGGCACCTGCAGGAAGCTCAAAATTCAACAGAAAATGTTGAATGAAAAAACAGAAAAGAAAATTTTGAGGGCAACAACAAACAGAATACTTCAGACATGTTTGAAAGCAATCAAGTTTTAAATTTGTCCACCAAGAAAAACGCCAAAATTTATTCTTTCCACTTCCTATTAATACAAAGTTCCAGTACACTACTACCCAGCACTACAAAATAATCATTCTTTCTTTTTGTAATGTTTCAGCTTTGTGTATATTTTAAATTAAATAACAGTTCTTTCAGTTACTCTATAAGTAATCTGAAGCTTTTTTTTTACAACCTACAGAAACATTAAAAAAACAAAGCATGTATTAGGTATGTAACTAGCAGTAATGCAGCCAGTTAAGAAGGGTTTCAATCACTAGACAGCCATACACAGGCTTGCATGGAAATAAAAAATTAAAAATAAAAAATAACAGTGATCCATTAAAAGCACAGACACTGACAGGTACAGACTTCGACCACTGCAAGCAGTCATAACTCTCTACTAGAGAATTGCAATCTAACTCACGTAAGAGTTCTAGTATCACAGGCATTCATTTTCACTGTTTTAGGGAGTCAGGGCCTAAAACATACCTCAGTGTTACTTCTACTATAAAGAATTTTTACAATAAACACAGTGTAACTCGACACATGAACACAGTTTAAAAATAAACACCAGAGTACCTTGTCAAAAGGAATTCCGTACTTTTTCAGTATTGAGGGAGAAATCAGAGTCATCTTGTGGCGAAGAAATGCATTACATCCATGGGAGCTGCTTGGGAAGAATCCTAGTAAGGGAAGATAAGCAAAATTGGGTATCTTTTAATTAAAACAAGAAGAAAATTTTTGTACCTTTTTTTTTTTTTTTTACAACAAATTATACATCGTCCTGTCATTGTTGGCTGCAGAGAGATTTGTATAAAATTCAAATGCATCTCCTACATTTTTCAGCTAATTTTCATCTTTTGTTTATTTTTTAAAGAATTAAATGACTCTTAAAAACTGCACCTGTAGATCTGGCCACCCTGTTCCTGTTCCAATTTATTCTATATTTTCCCACATTACTGTTCACTCTGCCGCCCCTGCATGCATGAAAATCAACCACACTACTTAAAGTTAGGATTCCACAACAATCAAATATACGTAGCACTTGAAGATCATACACAGTCAAGAAACAAAACCTTCTACTTACAAAAAGCTGGAAAGTGTGGCATCATTTTTAACTATTTCTCAAAGTTCAGGGAGGTTTTTTTGGTGTTTTGAGAAGAGCTTTTCCATTTTGTTTTGATTCTTGCTTTTTTGTATCTGATTTTGAATTCCTTGAACAAAAATTGGTGTAAAGCTATTCAGGTTTCAACTTGCATGAACATTTATGAACTAATCCACTAACTCCACTTAGTTCATTAAGTAAAGAAAATCCAGCTGGTGAGTACACGAAGATGAATGAATGAAGGGAAAAGCAAAAAAAAATCTAAGATGATGTTTCAGCACCACTAAATTTCAGTATTTCAGAAAACATTAGTTTCATTTACCCTCAACCTAAACATACCACAGCAAGAAATACTATGGAAATACTGTTACAATAAGGAAATGGGGAAAACTGAGAAGGACAAGGAGGGCAAGTTTCCAAAACACTCCATTAATCCTTCCAGACTACATTATGGGAAAAACAACATAGCCTGAAAAAAGAATAGGGCATAGTAGTTAACAACAAAATGCCCGTGAAAAGTTTGGATTGAAAAATGAAGTAGTATAGTGAGAACCATTTAACCAGCCGCTGTTGAATCTGCTCTCAGTCCCTATTCTACTTAAGTACAGATGCATGCCCTGCTCCAAAGTAAGGGTGACTCTTGCTGAGGAAGTGAGGAATGCTTCTGGCTGTATCATAATGCAACGCTACTCAAGTTTTGCAGAGTTATAGCACTAATAAACCAATAGAACTAGAATAGCTAAGGGAAACAGTTAACTTATTAATCAGCAAAGATTAGAAGCTCTTTCTTATCTTTACAGTTATCAGAAAGATAATATTTATCTTGACAGTCTTCCTGGAGTTTGTACCGGATCGCTACCAAGCATCACCAAGAGAGACAGTATAAATAATAAATTCAATTTTCCAGGATTTAGCAGTCCTGGAAAATGTATATTTTACTGTATCAGTCATAAAGCATTTGAAAATAAGCTATTTTTTGTGAAGTTAAACTTCATTAATTTATTTTGCTTTCTTCTGGAGAGCGTATTTTGCAACGTTGCCAAGACTTATTAACACCAACAGCTCACTCCATTGTAGGTCACTTATTTTCAAGTGATTTCAGTGACTTCAGAAAGCCTCATGGGCTACGACTGGAAAATAAAATACTCTCTGAAGTAATTATTTCAAAAATTTTTGCTTAACTTTGATAAAGCAGAATTAAGGCACAAAGGAGCTCACTATCACAAATCCACAGGAGAAAACTTAGCAAACAAGCTGAAAGAAGTGATGGTTCCATATCTTAGCTCTAATGAGTTCTCACTGTTAAGTGTAAGAAGTTTCACCACTCCAAAACACACCGGGTGAAATTCTACTTTTGTAACTAAATAAATACTAATTTGTCTGATTCTGCTGGAAACCAACAAACAAAAAAGTATATTGAGAAGGAAAATAAATATATTAAAAAAAAAAAAAAAAAAAGCCACTTCAGAACAGCGATTTTATTTCTGTTACAAGAAAAATGTGTGTAACATATGTAGCACTATCTTTCCACAGGGAAGACCTGTCCTGAGAAATATGGACATAGATTAAAATGAAGCAAATGGTATTAAAAGTATATATTTTACCAATTGCTCTGCATCACAACTAGAGAGTGAAGAAAAAACACCAGCTAACCATTACGACAAAGTCTCCTTAATGACAGCAACAAAAATAATATAGAAAAATCCCTTTCTGATTCATTTATGCATAAAATAGTTGATACTGTAAGAATAAAAAAAATCTCTGAGAGAGATCCAGGTAGATAGATTTTCTAAGATTATCCAAGGCGTAAATGTTTGTCCATAGGAAATATATTAACCAAGAACATTGTTCAACTGTTCTCCAAAATCAATTCTGTTTTACTGAAAAGGCCTTGTAAATGTATGAAATTAGTAAGAAGAGTTCACTCAAGAAATATGAGAAAGATTAACACAAGCAACTAGACTAAAGACATAAAAACACTGTTTAGTTTATATATGAAATTAGCCAAGGACATTTCACAGTAAAAGGATTGACATTGCTTTACTGTGTTTGCACAGACAGTCCTTACAATAAAAAGTTCACTTGGGCAGTAAAGGTGTAACATACACATACGTTGGCAGAAGTATTAAGGCCTCTCATTAGGATGTCCTGAGATCAAATTCTATTAAAGTGTGTCAGATTTACTTGCAATTACAAAATGCTTTTTTTTTTACTGTACTGGAATTACAAATTATGCTAGTTTAAGTTTCAAGTAACAATTTTTGGAGGGTTCAGTTTCATCACATAAGTATGTATGGATTCATTAAAATAAAAGATAGAAAAAGGAAACTACTCAACTAATAGTTGGTTCCGGTGAATACACTTCAAATACTTTGGAACAATTAATATCTATAGCAATTATAATAACCATAACTTGGAATTGATAGCCTATGGCTTCCAAGAAACCTCAGACCTGAGCAGCATTAGGAAATAATAGACCAAAACGGACAGAAAGAAAATGATCAAAGGTGACACTTGAGACTGAGAAAATAACTGTTATGAAAAACAACAAAGAAATTCCATTTCCAAAAGCAAGGAGAGCTTGACTGAGTTGATTCTGTGTGAGTAAACAGAATTCGTACAAAATTTTGGTACAGCAAAACACTTAATTAGCTCAACAAATAATGTCAGAAAACAAATGATGGGCAAATATCCAAAACTTCAGTTGTACCACTACAGCTCTAAAAGATAAGAAAGAGTTGTGACAACTCCAACCACAAGGTAAGCTTGTTGAATTCTAAGCAAGCTGCAAAAAACACTGAACAGTAGACTACAACCTGCTGAACATCCATTAAGAGAAAATTACAGGCAACGTCTGTAATTACAGTGCTCTCTCAATGAAAACAAAGGTGCTGTTGACACTTTCCATGCCACCATAAAATATTTTTCCAGATCCTTTTGAAGTCTACACTTGGACACACATTCACAGCATTTCTCAGAAATGTTCTCTTTCAGTGAACAAGAGAGGAAAGGAAGATAGTATGTGCTCATAAGAGGTTTCATCAGAAGGTCTTTTCTTCTGGTCTGGCTAAAGATAAGGTCACACAAACTCTTCTTTCAGCAAAGAACGCTGCAGGAGAATGGACTAACAAATATAAAAAGACCTATTAACATGCTGTAAAGAGGACACCACATTAGAAGCATTGCAAGACCTTTAGAAATACATTAAATGCACAGACTCTCCTACAGCATACTGACATTTAAATAATAAGAATGCCATATAGTTCTCTTTCTCTCTTCATTAACCAATTATTTTAACACCGCCACAAGCAAATCCAAGACAATCTTGCAACACAGCAGAACCACTCCCAAATACCAATCTCACGTTATAATTAACAAGTCACAGGTTTAAAAATATATCCTGAATATGCAGTAAATTTCCAGATCCAAAAGAAAAAAAAAACTGCAATCTATCTAGAACGTACCTAAATTCAAGTTCTGTGGTAGATTCATGCTTTGTTGGCTACATGAAAGTAAGCACCCATGAGCTCTAAACGAATTCTATAAAAGCAGATGTTTTGTGATAATTTGCATGCAACCTCATTTTCACAGATGATCTCTTGAGAAGTGGCAGACCTCTTCCATACTTATTATTACACAGTACACAAGCTGACAATTCAAAACAGCAGCATCTCAGGGTTCTGAGAGCTAGCTTATGTGGTCGCTGGGCTCTGTCATACTTGAAAAGTTGTGGCTGTCAAGCAAAACCCCTGGGTACTAGAAAAAGGGAAATATCACTTTCATTTACAGGAAAGGGAGGAAGGAGGATCTGGGGAACTAAAGACCAGTGAGCCTCACCCCTGAGCCTGGGAAGATCATGGAACAGATCCTCCTGGAAGACATGTTAAGGCACATGAGGGACAAAACGGTAACCCAAAACAGGCTGCATGGCTTCACCATGGGAAGGTTGTGTCTGACCAGTCTGGTGACCTTCTATGACAGAGGCATGGCATCGAATGGCAACTGATGTCATTTACATGGACTTCTGCAAGGCCTTTGTCATGGTCCCCCTCCAAATCCTTATCTCTAAATTGGAAAGATATGGATTTGAAGGATGAACTACCTGGTGGATAAGGAAATGGTCGGAAGCTTATAGCCAGAGGGTTTTGGTCAATGGCTCTATCTATGTTCATGTGTAGGCTGCTAACAAGCGGTGTCCCCCAAGGGTCCATCTTGGGTCCAGTACTCTGCAACATCTTTATTAATGACAGATGATGGGATTGAGTGCACCCTCAGAAGGTTTGCTGATGACACCAAGCTGAGCCGTGTCAAGGTGACCCCAAATATGTATACCAACTGGGAGAAGAACTCTTTGAGAGTAGTCCTGTGGAGAAGGACTTAGGGGCCCTGGCTGATGAAAAACTTAACATAAGCGAGTAGTGCGTACGTGCAGCTTGGAAGATCAATGGTATCCTGGATTCCATCAGAAGAGGGGTGGCCAGCAGGGCAAGGGAGGTGGTTGTCCCCCTCTATTCTGCCTTTGTGAGGCCCCCGCTGATGTACTCATCCAGGTCCAGGGTCCCCAACACAAGAAAGATG